AGCAAACATAGCACTTAACCATTCTTTGCCTTAGTTCTAAACTGAGATGTTTATTGCAAAGAAATGACTTCATTTTCATAAAAGTAGTTTTAGTCACGGCTATTTTACGTCTTATTTCTATGTCTGAATTTAGTTGGTCCGTTATCACAGTTCCCAAATATGTCATTTTGTGAACTTTCTCAACTTGGACTCCGTTCAATAGAAGCTTTGCATCGGGACGTGAGTCACGACTAAACACTAAAAATTTGGTTTTGTTTGAGTTTATTTTAATGCCTGTTTCCTCTCCTACCTCGTAAATACGATCAAGCAGAATTTGAAGATATTGAATATTATCTGATAGAATTACTGTATCGTCTGCATAGCGTCTCTCAAGTGCCTTTTTAAATAACTGGTCCGAGTAAACATTGAACAATGTTGGCGACAAAATGCAACCTTGTCTGACTCCTCGTTGTATGGGGATTTCATCGGTGTAGTTATCTCCAATTTTTACGATAGCAGTTTGATTTCAGTACAAATTTTTAATGACACGAATATCCTTGACATCTATTATCTACTATTGTCTACTATACTTTTATGTTATCATTCTCTATCAGTTTTAACAACTCAGTTGGTGTATCATCTGGACCACAAGCTTTTCTAATTTTAGCATTATTTATAGCATCTTCTACTTCGCATTTCAAAATTTCTGGGCCGTCAGTACAGTTTTGGTAGAATTCGGCAATATTATTCCTGTCATCTTCAAACAACTCTGATATATACAGCTGCCATTCTTTTCTTATTTCTTGCTCATTTACAATAATTTTGTTATTAGTGTCAACAAGTACAGAGGACCTCGTTTTTTAAATATATTACTCATTTCTTTCAGTTTTTTGTGCACATTAAGGCTGTTTTCGCAGTTATAGCATATTGCGATTTGAAGTGGGCGTATCACTTACTTTTCTACACTGCTATGTCAGACCCTACGTGACTTCCTAATAGTTTGGATGTTTATTCAGTGGCGCCGGCCCACGGGTTATTTAAAATAAATGCATTATTCTCCATTCAAATTTGTTTTGTCGGAATACTTTTTTTTAGATTAATTATCGTAGATAATGTTTTAAAAAGAATTAATCACATTTTTAATTTATATGTCTTAGCTAAACATAGTATTAAATAAAAAATTGTGAAACGTGACTGCAAAAAACACCATGGTGTTTATTTATAATAAATTTAAATTTTGTTATATTGATATTAATATATAATTAATATTTTGTTAATATTTGTTAGAGAAAACTGATATTAGCGTAGTAAAAATTAAACAAAACATATTTCTATTTATCTATAAAAAATTGGTACCTGCGAAACCATCATAATAGTAAATGTATTTATCTGGCAAGTATTTCGAGGCGACGCACTGCGAGGAAAAAGTTCTCTGAATGGAATATACATTATTTTAATATATTTATAGGTTGCAGTTACATAAGAAAAGTATCCAATTGATGAATAAAACACAAATCGTGGATAGTTATTTCATCATATCAGTGGCATTTCAGCTCGTCATGAGCCAAAGGCTTCTTCAGAACAATCTTCCATTCGCCCCTGCCTCTGGCAACTTTCTCCATGCTTTAACTCCGATGGATTTTAGATCATCCTCTATGTTATCTTGATACCTAAGTTTTTTTCTTCCTCTGGATCGTCTTCCCACTGGTCCTCTTCGGTCGAAAATTTTTCTGATCGTTCCATCTTCATCTTGCCTAATTACATGTCCTATCCATCAAAGGCGTACTAATTTAATAAATTTTACAACGTCAGGTACTACACCTGAAGAAGCATCATAGTTTACTTTATACGATCTTTTTGACCAAGCACCATCAGCTATAACGGTTATTAACTCATTTCCGTCGGAATCTACTTCACCAATTTCTTTGGCTAAAGCTAATTCCTCCCGTCCAGCCTCTTCTAAGGAATCACAAAGTGTTTGGCCGATGATATCTGCAACTGTTTCCGTATGTTTTGCATACTGCCTGTTAAGTTAAATAAAAGCTTTTAAAAACGGTTATAATATAAATAATAAATACTAAAGCAGTGCAATTGCTCTCCTTTTCCTTGACATAGGACGTTTACTGGGACTCATTTTTTATCTTGTCTCTTATATCTTATATCACTAACCTAATGTAATACTTAAAAATACGCGTAAACTAAAGAACTTTTAACTTATACCACTAAACTAATAATATATTACTTAACATACACGTAAACTAAATAATTTCAATGTTTTCAAAATAAATAAGAATACTGTAAACTGTAAAAACTAAGCAAGTTGATAAAGAAAATACAAGAATGGAAGAACTAAAATGGATTCTAATTCAAGCGAACTAACTGACCGTACCCATAGAGAAATAAAAATAAGACCGTACCGTACGCTCATGTGATTTGACGTCACTAATGCGATAACGATCAAGCTTAGCGACGTTGATGAGGAACACGTTTCACTATTAGATTTCAGTATTTTTTAGCAATTTTCTTCAAAGTTTGAATACGCTTTTCTCGATTATTACTGGACACAGAAAGGTGAAAAAAGAATTAACGATTACAGAAAAAAAAAACTCTTTCAACTGATGGGCGTGAAAAGTTTGGTTATAATAGAACGTTAAACAGTATAATCCAATTTTTCAACAGAAAATTCAAAAAAATAAAAAAAGTAAAACCATCAGTTTAAAAGCAACATAATTTCGTATAACATGTCCAAATTTCGAAACATTTCGTCGGTAAATAACAGAGAAAAAATTTTGGTGCACCGATAAAACAGCCTTAAATAAGTCGTGTTTAGATATTACATCCTCCATTTCGTCGCACCTTTCTCTCATCCATTTTTCTTTAGCTAATTTGATCTCCTTTTTTATTCTTCTCTGCAGGTGTCTATATTCTGTTACATTAGATTTTATCATTCGACGTTGTTCCATTAATTTTAAGATGTCTTTCATCCAGTTATTTTTCTTGATTAAGTTTTTTCTATAATCATTGTTTGTGGAGATTTCGTTAACTTGGTTTTTAAATTCACTCCATAGTTCTTCTGGATCTTCTACTTGTTCTCCAATGTTTTTTAAACTATTGTTAGATTCTATTTTAATGTTATGTTTTCGTCAAAGTTAAGAACATTGGTTTTTGGTTTTTTCGCTAAATTCGTTTTAACCTTAGTTTAATAACTGCTACGAGTGGTTGATGATCAGATTCAATATCTGCACCAGGATATGTAGTGACTTTTTTGACGGCATTTCGGAAACGCTCATTTACAAGTATATAGTCTATTTGATTTCTTGAAGACTCAGGGTTATTGCCATCATCAAATGGGGCTTTCAATTTTTGTGATGCGGGTCTTCTGTGTTGTTACCGAAATAATATAATACACTTCCGTCCTTTTTACATGATCCTGACTCTGGCCATCTCATTTCGCTGATTCCCAGTAGGTCTATTTTCATCGTTTTCATTTTTTGAATTGCCTTGTCAAGTTTCCCAGCCACAAATAGACTTCTAACATTCCATGTGCACATTCTAAAATTAGATTTCTTTATTTTTAGGATTTCTTCACGACGTTTTCGCATGTTTACAACCTGAGAGGTCTCGTGGTATAAATATGTTTCTCCTCTCTTGCCGAATCTTGGCCTACGCTTTCCATGATTAGTAACGGTTTGAAACTGCAGTGTCAATTCTGTGGTGATTTTCCTGGTGGTGCTCTATGAGCCGTTAAGGTAGTGGTTCCCCTTTGCAATCTGCATTCTTATGCCGTTGACAATTATTTGTTGATTCTTCCGTCTTCGGGGTCGATTTCTCAACCCCAGAACAAAAGAATGCCCTACCACTCACCAACTCATCCGCCCTAAGCCGGTCAGTAAGTGGGGGATTGCTAATATACCGGCAATCACTCGGACGTCAGAGCCTCATTTGTTATCTAGCAGGATGCACTGGATGACCATAATCAAGATCATCACGCGGTCAGGCGAAGTTGACATTTGGATAGGGGAGGCTATACGTTGCGCATCACTATCCCTTGCATCCCTGAGACATCTTACGTCGATTATTTTCGATCGATGTACATCTCTGTTAGTTATAACATAATCTATCACAGATATTTGTCCACGGGTGTTAATAAATGTATATTTATGTTGGTCTTTGTGTTCAAAAAATTTATTCTAAATTCGTTATTCGTGCAGAAGTTTATCATCCGTTTTTCATTTTCGTTTTTAACATTCTTGTTATATGTTTGCTTAAATCCGGGTATTACTTGAATTGTATATTCGAGCGGTAAAATCACTTAATATTATCACCTTACCTCTGACTTGACTACATACTTGTTTTGGGTAATTTGTCATGAAACTTTTCCCGTGTTGTTTGAGGCTTGTTATTTACATTTTCTGGGCCATAGACTCCAATGATATTCAGGTCTTCCTTCTCCATTCTTATCTTTGCTATTACAATATTATATACATAATATTTTAACTGTTCAGAGATATTTTCTTATTTCTATGCTATCTTGTTTTTTTATATATCTAGTGTTTGATAGATTTAATTTTAGTTCGATTCCTTTAGTTTTTTTTTAATCTACCAACATTTCCTGTATTTCTTCTATCTTTTGCTATTGGCAATATCACCGGCTCATCTCAGGTGATTTAGTTTTTAGCCGTCCAATGTCATCTCTCGATTTTTCCATTTAAAAGTTCAAAACATAAATATTTTCTAGGGTCAACCTAAAGAGCTTAGGAGAAATAAAATCTTCTTGTCTAACCCCTCTCTGTAGTTTTATCTTTTCTGTTTTTTCTTGTGTTGTTACTTGCGATGTTATATTACTTTTTATTATTATTTCGCTTCTTCGTATGGTTAAAATTTGTGATGCAATCACCGCCACTATTCTACAATTTGAACAATTAGTTCACTATAATTATTATTTTTTGATAATAACCTAGTCCATAATTTATTATATAAAATTTCCAATGATAATGTTTAACTAATATTAATCTTTTTAGGATCTGCGGGTAGTGTGGTAGCAAACCGACTGTCAGCTAACCCGAATTGGACAGTTCTAGCTCTTGAAGCTGGTATAAATGAAAACTTTTTTAATGATATTCCTGTCACTGCTTGGTTTCAATCTAAATACCCCTACGACTGGGGGTTTAAAACCGAAAAATTGCCAAACGCATGTCTGAGTACAATTGATGGTACGTGCCTGCTAGCTGGTGGAAAGGCTATTGGTGGAACTTCTGTTACCAATTTTATGGTTTACAATAGAGGAAATAAGTAAGTTTTTTGGAACAACATAAAGATATATATATGTATATATATATATAGCTCGAGTAAAAAATAGTCAACAAATAGCCCCTTTTATTGACTCCAACCCATCAAAAACAGTGTTATATATATATATATATATATATATATATATATATATATATATATATATATATATATATATATATAAGAAAAAAGAAGTACTTGTGACTCGTTTGGAAAAAATATAAAACTGTTTTGAATGGGTTGGAGTCAATAAAAGGGGCTATTTGTTGACTATTTTTTACTCGAGCTTTCAACTGTGATTACAATTATTATCAAGAGCTTCTAAAAAATACAAAATATCCCACAAAGTTGAACTAGAAATAAAAATGTTTTTGTTAACTCACCAAATAAAATTAGTTTTTTAATAAAATTGCTGCTAACATATTATTACAAAAAATATTATTTAAAAAATGTCCTATTCTAATAAATGTTTCCCTGAAATAAATTTTGATAAAGTTTCTTAACAAAAACAATTGAATTTATAAACAAAAATTGAATAGCTACAAATCAGCCTCAATGTCATAAATACCAACTTAAAAATTTTTATTTTTGACATATTGTCAAAAATAAAATTTTGTTTAAACAATTCTTTTTTGTTTAGTAACAAAAAAGAAGAAGATTTATTCACCATTGATAGATGCCTCAAAAAATGTAACAAATACATGGAAAATTCAAAATGTGACATTTTACTGACTGCATATATAAATTACATAGAAATAATATAATTATAAATTTTGCTTAGATTTTGAATTTCTGACCTTTTGTTTAAATTATTATCAATTTTGCTAATACAAACCATGCCCAAAAAAGTTCTTTTAAATTTATTACTTTCACTACATAAAATTTTAATATTATCAAAATCCATAATATGGTCTTTGTCTATTACATGCTCTGCCAAAGCACAAGATGGTTTTCTTAATTCTGCAATTACTTTTGAGAGAAATAATGCGATTTGAGAGATTTCTTCGTCTCACCAACATACTTAGCTTCACACTGAGTACAACTAATGCTGTATACTACATTAGTTTGATCTAATTTGTCTATAGGATATTTAGTTTTGGAATATAAAGATGAAATTGTTTGGTGTTCTTTGTTGCTATTTTTATATTGTCAATAACCTTTAGTGTTTGTATTAATTTAGGAGTTAATGATGGTATAAAAGGTAGTAAATGATAATATATGGTTCAGAAAACCCATATGTAGTAATAGATTTATAAGCTATTACTCTCATCATCCAAATAAGATGAAAATGAACCCTATAACAGGATTAAAGGAACGTGTTTTAAAACTTTCTCATCCAGACTATCTACAAGAAGATCTTCATTTGTTAAAAAATATTTTAATTGAAAACTCTTATCCTCCAGATATGCTACATTAGAATGCTTTTTTCTAATTTATTAAATTTAAATAACTTAACACCATTTTTTGCTAAATCTCAAAACACTGTATCCAACAATCAGAACATATATTATCATTCACTACCTTTTATACCATTATTAACTCCTAAATTAATAAAAACACTAAAAGTTATTGACAATATATAAATAGCAACAAAGAACATCAAAACCATTTCATCCTTATGTTCCAAAACTAAATATCCTATAGACAAATTAGATCAAACAAATGTAATATACAGCATTGATTGTATTCAGTGTGAAGCTAAGTATGTTGGTGAGACTGGAAGAAATCTCTCAAATCGTATTATTTCTCACAAAAGTGATTGCAGAATTAAAAAACCATCTTGTGCTTTGGCAGAGCATGTAATAGACAAAGACCATATTATGGATTTTGATAATATTAAAATTGTATGTAGTGAAAGTAATAAATTTAAAAGAACTTTTTTGGAAATGGTTTGTATTAGCAAAAGTGATAATAATTTAAACAAAAGGTCAGAAATTCAAAATCTAAGCAAAATTTATAATTATATTATTTCTATGTAATTTATATGTGCAATCAGTAAAATGTCACATTTTGAATTTTCCATGTATTTGTTACATTTTTTCAGGCATCTATCAATGATGAATAAATTCTCTTCTTTTTTGTTACTAAACAAAAAAGAAATTTTTAAACAAAATTTTATTTTTGACAATATGTCAAAAATAAAATTTTTTAAGTTGGTATTTATGACATTGAGGCTGATTTGTAGCTATTCAATTTTTGTTTACAAATTCAATTGTTTTTGTTAACAAACTTATCAAAATTTATTTCAGGTAAACATTTATTAGAATGGGACATTTTTTTAATAATATTTTTTGTAATAATATGTTTTTAGCAGCAGTTTTATATAAAAAACTATTTTTATTTGGTGAGTTAACAAAAAATTTTTAGTTCAACTTTGTAAGATATTTTGTATTTTTTAGAAGCTCTTGATAATAATTGTAACCACAATTGAAAGTTGGAGTAAAAAATAGTCAACAAATAGCCCCTTTTATTGACTCCAACCCATCCAAAACAATTTTATATATATATATATATATATATATATATATATATATATATATATATATATATATATATATATATATATATATATATATGAAACCTAGAGCTAAGATTATTGCTATTACAAAAATTAATATTAAACTCACCAGTCTTCCGGGTTGAACCGCGTCGATATCCATTTTGCCAAGCTTTCGACATTCTCTCTGAGGATGTCTTCCTCAGGACTTCTGAGGTCTCAGTCTCCCGAGCCCCCAGACACTACTACTTTGCTTCCCATTATCTCTTTTCTAAGATATTTGAGAGGATACTCCTTCAAAGAATGAATTCTATAATCTACAGACAAAAGTTAATACCTGATTATCAGTTTGCATTCAGGCAACAACATGGAACAATTGAGCAGGTAGATAGAGTTGGCAAAGTAGCAAGAGATGCGATTGAAAAGAAAGAATACTGCACTGCAGCCTTTTTGGATGTCTCACAAGCATTTAATAAAGTATGGCGTGAGGGGCTACTATCTAAAATAAAAACTCACTTTCCTCATTCTCTGTATGCACTTCTGACATCCTATCTTACCAATCGATATTTCCAGGTCAGATACAATAAAGCAGTATCAAACATATCTCCAATTCTATCGGTAGTACCTCAGGGTAGTATACTGGGACCAACTTTATCCTTACTCTATACGGCAGATATTCCCACAAGAGTAAGCAGCACAATTGCTACCTATGCAGATAATACTGTGATAATAGCTTCTAGCTCGGTTTCTGTTACAGCCTGTCAAACTTTACAAATTCGTTTAAACGAACTAGAGAAATGGTTAAAACTGTGGCGAGTTAAAGTAAATGGCAGCAAATCAGCACATATAACATTTACTTTACGCAAAAAGAGTGTACCATCTGTGCGCATAAACAATACCATAATAACCGAAAAAAGTGATGTTAAGTACTTGGAAATACCTACATTTTGACAGCCGACTAAATTGGGGAAAGCACATCTGCACAAAGCGACTACAACTAGGATTAATATACAGGAAAATGTATTGGTTCATGAAGCAAAAATCCAAATTAAGTCTACATAATAAATTATTACTGTATAAATATGTTCTAAAGCCAATTTGGACCTACGGTTAGGGATGTGTAGTTCACCATCGAAATAGTTCAAATGAACGATTCTTTCAACTGAACTAATTGAACTAGTTCATTAATTTTTATAGAACTAGTTCAATGCGAACGATTTGCATTATAAATTGTGTCTCAACTTCTAAAGAAGAAAATAATGAATGAATGAATGCGAACATATATTTATTATTTTGTGAATGGATGGCCTCAGATAACAGATTCATAATTCTTATGATTGTGACAATAACATAAAGTCTTATCTTAATCATAATGATTCGGATCTTATGTCCATGTATTGGCTTGGATGTTGCCATGCTGTGTTGTTTCTTGTATTGTAATTTTGAAACAAAAATTTTAGTTGTGGTTAAAATGATTGAGGCATTTACATAAAATATAATTTTATGTAAAAGTGAGAATGAAAAAGATTATTTTAGAAATAACCTAATTATAAATACCTATGAGTTTAAATATACGTAAATATAAAAATAAATCATATGTTAACCATATTTATATTTAAAACGGTTAATAAAAAACAAATCTTAATAATTTTTTTGCAAATAAAAACTAACTAATCATATAATAATTTAAACCATTTAAACCTAAATATACAATCGAAAGAAATAGTTCCGAACTACTTGTACGGTAGTGAACTAGTGAAAGACTGACTGAAAACCGAAGAAAACGGGCGACCGGCGCGGCGCCGAGCTTGTGTGATGATTGAGACGAGACATCTTCTTCTTCTTAGAGTTCCATCTTCTATCGAAGGTTGGAAATCATCATGGCTATGCGGACTCTGTTGACTGCCGCTCTAAAAACTTCTGCACTACTGCATTCAAACCATTCCCTTAAGTTCTTAAGCCAGGATATTCTTTGTCTTCCCACATTTCGCTTTCCTCGGATTTTGCCCTGCATAATAAGTTGTAATAATGCGTATTTTTGCTCTCTCATCACATGTCCCAAGTACTCAAGTTTTCGTCTTTTAATAGTTAATTTTATTTCCGCCTCATTTCCTATCCTTCTGGTTACTTCCATGTTTTACATTCTTTGAATCCATGATATTTGTAGGATTCATCTGTAACACCAAAATTCAAAGGCGTCCAACTTATTCAGATGAACTTGTTTTAGTGTCCAAGCTTCCAAACCATAAAGAAGAGTAGAGAACACGTAACATCGAAGCATTCTCAGGCGTAGTTCTAACCTTATATCCCGACAACAAAGAAACTTTTTAAGTTTAATAAATGTTGTACATGCTATTTCAATACGTGTCTTAATTTCTTTGGTTTGGTCTACATCTGATGTTATCCATGTTCCTAAGTATTTATAGTTATTAACACTCTCAATTGCAGTACCTTCAATAGTCAATTGGATATTTGCATGTGCAGACTTAGTCATGATCATGCATTTAGTTTTCTTTAAATTTATCTTCAATCTGTACTCATGACAGCGTTCATTAACGCGTTGTATTACGTTCTGTAAATCATTGTTGTTATCCGTAATTATTAATGTATCGTCTGCAAAACGTAAGTTATTCAAAACTTCTCCATTGATAGATATACCTTCTATTGAGTCTGAGAGCGCTTCTTGAAATACCGCTTCACTGTAGACATTGATAAGTAGAGGGGACAGCACGCAACCCTGGCGGACTCCTCTCTGTATTTTGATATTTTCGGTGTACTGGCTGTCAACTCTTACCTTAGCAGTTTGATTCCAATATAAATTAGATATAATTTTCAGATCACGACTGTCAATATTTTTGCTTTTTAATATATCTACAAGCGTTTTATGTTGAACTTTATCAAATGCCTTTCCAAAGTCTACAAAACATAAGTACATATCCTGATTCATGTCCATGCATCTCTGAGCCAGCACATTCAAGCCGAATAAAGCATCTCTTGTACTCATACCATTTCTAAAGCCAAATTGTGTGTCACTAATCTCATATTCAAGAGTTTTAACAATTCTGCTGTGAATTATTTTCAAAAATGTTTTAAGTGTGTGACTCATTAAAGCTATTGTTCTGTGGTCTGAGCAAGTTGTTGAACTTGGTTTTTTGGGAATTGCTACAAAGGTTGATTGCAGCCATTGTCTGGGGATTGTGGCAGTCTGATATATTAGATTAAAGAGTTCAACCATTACATCAATAACATCTTCATCGATGAGTTTTAATAATTCGATGGGCACCTCATCTGGTCCAGTAGCTTTACTCTCTTTTGTGTTTTTGATGGCATAGATGACTTCTTCTCTTAATATTGGTGGTCCGGTATCCTCGGTGATTTATAATGACAGTTCCTCTCAGGTTAACATCAAAACTAGACTTCTATCAACCTTGCGAGCAAGCAGGATTTAAAGTTGGATACGGAACAAATGATCATTTGTAAATCATTAAGTCGTTGATTGAAAAAACCATTGAATATAATAGACTCCTGATACTTGTCTTTGTCGACTTTGAAAATCGGTATTTGTGAGCAAATCCGTGGGACTTTTATACTTGATATTATATTTCGTGCATAATATAATCTACATTATAATAACTGAAATATTTAGTCATAAATTTGAAATCTAATTATAAATTATATACAGTGTGTAAAAGCCAAATGGAATAAATTCATTCTTTGGGTTACTGTACATATTTATAAAAAATCACGAAACACGTCAAATTTAAATTATAACTGGACATTCTTTAACGTAAAAATGCAACCCCTACCTTCAACCCCTTTAGAATGACAGGTACAACCCTCAATTTTTAAAATAGGAAGTATAGGCTTGTGATATATCGTTTGAAAGGTCTTTTCATTCTCCATTCAAAAATGTTGTCGCTTTCAAGTTTATTAAGATTAATTAAGATAAAATAAATTAAAATCATGTGATTACCGAAATTTGCTACAATACAATCAAAAATTAAAATGTAATGCAAAACGTAATAAAATGTAGAACACGAAAAAGAACTATTAATGTTAATGAAGTAGATGTCCAAAATCTTCACCGTGAACGTCTTGGCAACATCCTAATCTCAAATAAAACTGTCTTCTTTTATTCGTTATTCGTATAACGTTCGAAGCGTTATTCGTTCTTTTAAGTCATTTAAATCAGAAGGTTTAGTTTTGTACCTATGGCATTTCACATATTCCTATAAAAATAAATCTAATAATGTAAGATCAGGTGATCGCGCTGGCCATTCAATCGATCCTCGCCTCCCTATCCACCGATTGGGAAATATTGTATCGAGGTACTGCCGTACATTAAGTTGGTAATGAGGTGGTGCTCCATCCTGCTGAAATCATATCGTATTTGCTAGAACTTGAAGGTTTCCTGGATGAGGATATAAATTTGCCAACGTTGGAATGACATCATTTTGAAGTAGTGCGAAATAATTGTTGCCATTCAAGTTGCCCCCAATGAAAAAGGGATCAATGATATTGTTTCCTACAATCCCTGTCCAAACATTAACCTTTTGAGGTTACACTCATCTGAAACTAACTGAAAAAGTGCACTCATCAGAAAAAATAAAGTCTTCTAATTGGATAATATTGTTATCCAACATGTCCATCATTTGCTCACAAAAAAAAGTTCTCCTATCAAAATCGTCTTTCATGAGCTCCTGAGTAGGTATCATCTTATAGGGATACATTTTATTTTCTTTTAATATGTTTACTATCGATATATGGCTAGCATTGAATGTAGTGGATGCCTGTCTACTCGATGTATGTGGATTTTCCTGAAACTCAAGCAACACATCTAATTTGAGTTCATCACTCAGTGCATTGGCAGCTGCTTTTTTTATCTGCCTTACATGACCAAACTCGCGAAACTGCTTCTCTATTTTACTTATTGTTCCTTGGGATATAGGCGGTAAATTAGAAAATTTCTCATGAAATAGGCAAGTTCTTCCTCTTGTGTTCGGGTGTTATCTCCGTAACCAATCATTTGTAAAACTGTTATTTTATGCACTTCCGTTACTCTAACCATTTTTCAGAATTAAATTGAATGAACTTTTTACTTAAATTAAAATTCTGACAACTTAAATAAAACAATTTACTAATGCGTATTAAAATAACGTTGCCACGGAAATTCTTTAAATTTTTTTAATGGTTACCATCTAAAATCCACATTGCTATGGTTTTTGTTCACTTTCTCATTATCAAAACCTAAACGGGAAATAAGTTTTGAGTATATTTTAGCGAATTTCGGTAACCACATGATTTTAATTTATTTAATCTTAATTAATCTTAATAAACTTGAAACGGACAACATTTTTAATTGGAGAATGAAAAAACATTCCAAACGATATATCACAAGCCTATACTTCCTATTTTGAAAATTGTTGTTTGTACGTGTCATTCTAAGGGGGTTGAAGGTATGGGTTGCATTTTCACGTTAAAGAATGTCAAGATATAATTTAAATTTGACATGTTTCGGGATTTTTTATAAATATGTACAGTAACCTCAATAATGAATTTATTCCATTTGGCTTTTACACATGGTATAATATTTATATTTTTCTAGGGAAGATTATAACGGATGGGCCGCTTTAGGAAACGATGGCTGGAGTTACGAAGACGTTCTACCCTTTTTCAAAAAATCTGAAAATTGTCAAAAATGCACCGATATTGATCCAGGTTATCACAGTAATGACGGACCCTTAAACATAGAGCCTCCTGGCTGGGAGTCTCCATTGGTGGACTTGTTTATAAAAGCTGGAGAAGAACTTGGCTACTCTCATAACGATCCGGATGGAAAGCAACAACTGGGTAAGTATTTAGTTTCAACAATAAATATAAGAACATTTGTATAGTTACAAAAATAATAACTCTTCTTCTTCAGATGCAAATCCACTAATGGATGTTAGCGATCACATTTTCCATTAACTCTCTATTTCTTGCAATATGTATCAGAGATTGTATGTCGTTAATCCCTGTCCATTGCCTTATGTTTCGGAGCCAGGACATTTTCTTGCGTCCCATTCCTCTCTTGCCTTCAATTTTACCCTCGATTATAAGTTGGAGGAACTGGTATTTTTCATTTCGCATGATGTGACCTAGATACGCTGTTTTCCTTTTCTTGATGGTTTCGAAAAGTTGGCGTTCTTGGTTTATTCTTTTAAGGACATCTATATTTGTGATTTTCGCTGTCCATGGTATTTTTAGAATACGGCGATAAAGCCACATTTCGAAAGCTTCCAATCTGTTTATATCCCTCGTTTTGAGTGTCCAGCCCTCTACGCCATATAGCAGCACTGACCATACGTAGCACTTAGTAAACCTTAGTCTCAGTTGAAGATCGAACTCAGAACAAGTCAGTACCTTCTTGAATTTTACGAAAGCTTGTCGAGCTTGCTCAATGCGACATTTTACTTCCCTGTCCGATGCCCAGTCTTCAAAAAGCCACGATCCCAGGTATTTAAATTTACTCACTCTTTCTATGGATTTACTATTCAGTGTTATGGTGGAGTTTTCAAATGCATCCAAGTTTCTGGAGATGATCATGAATTTGGTCTTTTTGGTATTAATCTCTAGTCCCATTCGCTCACTGTATTCTCCGATTATAGTGACAAGTTGTTGAAGATCGACTATGTTGTCACAAATTAAGACACCATCATCAGCATATCGTATGTTGTTGATCAATACTCCATTCACCTTGATTCCCATCTCTGCATCTTCCAAAGACTCTTGAAATATGGCTTCTGAATAAATGTTAAATAAAAGAGGGGAAAGCACACATCCCTGTCGAACGCCTCTTCTTATATGTATGGGCTTAGCTTTAGAATTGTCTATTTTTAGCTGTGCCGTTTGATGCCAGTACAAGTTTTCAATGCATCTTATGTCTTTTTGGTCTATATCAACTTTCTTGAGAATCTGCATTAACTTGTGGTGTTGGACACGATCAAACGCTTTTTTGTAATCTAAAAAGCATAGGAACACATCCTTCCTCTGATCGTAACAATTTTGGACCAGTACCTGTGTTGCTACTATTGCTTCTCCTGTTCCTAAACCTTGCCTAAACCCGAACTGGGAATCACTGATGTCCCATTCACATTTTTTGTATAATCTTTGATGTAGTATTTTTAAGAATATCTTTAAAGTGTGACTCATCAGGCTAATGAGTCTGTGATCCTCACATCTTTTTGCATTGACTTTCTTGGGCAGGGGAATAAAGGTAGAGCGTAACCACTGTTGAGGATAGCAGCCAGTTTCATAAATTAAATTAAATATTTTGTGTAGTGCTGAAATTCCCCTTTCATCTAGTAATTTGAGTATTTCTGACGGGATCTCATCTGGTCCAGGTGCCTTATTGTTTTTTGAATTTAATATTGCTTTTTCTATCTCCTCTTTGGTGATTGAAGGGCCAGTCAGCTGGTCGTCTGTATAAACTTCACTCATGGGTCTTTCGTCATGGAAGAGCTCCTGAATATAATTTTCCCATATATTACAAAAATAATAACTACTTGAGTGCAATAATAGCTTACCCTATCTGAAATTATTGAAGGCTGATTACGCAGGCGAACAATGAAAAAACTTTTTTGATAAAATTTCCTCTATCTTATTTATTTTGGTGTGCTGCGTCCAAAAAACCATTCTTTCACAATTTAACATTTAAAATTGCAAAATTACATTTTATTTTGTTTAAAAAATAGAGAAGTCTAATGTTACTTTTGGTTACTGGTAGCACCGTTACTAATTTTACAACCCTCTCTGTTCTTCTTCCTATTTATTAACGGCTGTATTCCTTTATTTTTGTGGCTTGTTTACGGGGAGCAAGGTAGTCTGGGCACACTTTAAACTGTTTTATTAATTTATTAACAACAAACTACATACTAAAAACAAGTAAGAAAACTGTAAGAGTTCTTTTCGTTGTTGCCTCGTAGTGTGATGTGTTCCTGTTCTGACAGACATCAGCTGGCTCTGATCTCCTCTTTTTTTCTCCGTCGACTTTCCCTCACTTCGGTAGACAGTCAACCCATATGTGGCTGAAGGTTAACTGTCAATCTGGCACATTCTAATAAACATAACCTCATTTTTCAGTATTAGACTCATACTCTTTTAAGTATGGCTAGTCGCGAATCTAAAAACTGGTCAGATACATTTTGTTACATATCTTTTTGATTATAATTTTGTTTGTAAAAAACATCAGAGAAACATTACTGACGTAAGAAAACGTGTATTTGTCAGCTTTTATTTTTTTAAACTGGTGACCAAGACAAAGTTTGGGCTCCTCACTATGTATGTTGTGTTTGTGTTAAGGGTTTAAGGAAGTGGTTAAAGAAAGAAAAAAGTTTCAGATTTGCAGTGCCTATGGTATGGAGAGAGCAAAAAAATCATTCAAATGATTGTTGTTTTTGTACTGTAGGTATCATCATTATTATAATCCAGCCTCTATTTATCACGTCCACTGCTGGACATAGGCCTCCCTTAAACTCCTCCATTCCTCACGATTTTGTGCTCTTTGTTGCCAATTTTTAGTGATACGCCTGATGTCGTCGGCCCAACGTGTAGGTGGTCTTCCTCTACTGCGTTTGTCTGCTCTTGGCCTCCAATTTGTAATTTTGCTCGTCCATTGTGAATCGTGCATTCTCGCTACATGGCTCGCTACATTCTCGCTTCGAAGCCGTGGTCTTGGTTAAAGTCATAGTTTCCGCCCATAGGTCATGACCGGTAATACGCATTGGTCAAACACTTTTCTTTTGAGGCTGATTGGTATGTTGGCCCTAAGTATGTCTCGCAGTTTTCCAAAGGCTGCCCATGTTAAAGTAATTCGTCTTTGGATCTCACATGTTTGGTTATCCCTGCTTATTCTTATTTCATGACACAAATACGTATATTTCTCCACCAGTTTTACCACTTTGTCTTGAATAGTCAAATGGTTATTGGGGACCAAATTTGTCATAAACTTAGTTTTGGTCAAGTTCATTCTCAGGCCCACCTTCAAACATGCAAAATTCAATTCGTTTAACATATCTGTAGCTTCTCCTAAATTATCTGTGATAAGGACAATGTCATCTGCGAAACGGAGATGGTTAAGCTTTTCGCCGTCTATTGTTACTCCTCTGTGGTCCCAATTGATCATCTTAAAGGCATATTCTAATGCCGTTATGAATAATTTTGGCGACAATGTATCTCCTTGCCTTATTCCACGATTTATTTTTATTGGTCGGGTTTTATTGTCCATTTTAACAGTCATAGTGGCAATTTTGTAAATATTATAAATAAGCTCACTATACCTATGGTCAATCCTGCTGTCATTCATTGCTTCTATAAGGCTGTCTAATTCGATCGTGTCGAACGCTTTATGAAAATCTATGAAAGTGAGAACAAGAGGTTTGTTATATTCTATAGATTTTTCAATGAGTGTCTTTACTGTAAGGAGGTGATCATTGGTACCATAATTTGAGCCTGCCTGCTCTCTCGGTTGGTAGAAATCTAATTTTTTCTCCAATCTTGATGTCACTACCCTAGTGAAGAGCTTGTATATGTGGTTCAACAGGATAATAAGTCTATAATTTTCTAGGTCCGTTCTATCTCCTTTTTTATGCAAAAGGATGGTTGTAGCTTTGTTCCACTCTTTGGGCACCTCTCTTTGCTGCAACATAGATTGAATAGTTTCCTTAATTTATTTAATAGCATATCTCCTCCATTTACGATAGCTTCTATTACGATTCCATCCTCTCCTGGGGCTTTGTTATTTTTCATTTTTCTTAATGCTTGTCGAATCTCATCTAGCTTTATCTCTGGCATTAGTTCGGAACCTTGATTCTTGATCTTCTTTGAAATGGCTGTTTGTATTCCTGTTTTGTCTTCTCGTCTACTTCTATATAAGTCCTCGTAAAACTCTTCGACGACCTGTATTAACTCGTCTCTACGTGATATTATTTCATTTTGCTTGCTTCTTAATTTATGAATTTCGCATTTCCCATTCGTTAGCTTTCTACGTAGAACTTTTAGGCTGTTATTTTCCTCTATAGTGCGTTTAATATAATCGGTATTAAATTTCCTTAAATCTCTCCTATTTGCTTTCGAAACAGTTTTGTTCATTTTTCTTAAAGTGTTGCTATCTACATTATTATCGCTTCTCATTTGTCTTCTTTGATCCAAGAGCGTTTCAGTATATGGACTTATTTTACTATCTGATTTTCTTTTAGGACAGTGCACTCGGTGACTTTCTTGTAAGGCGTTTATGATGCAGTTATTCAAGTCGTTAATATCGTTAGCGGAGGTTTCCTGCAATAGAAGCTTATTATTGATATGTGTCTGATATTGGTTGATATCTAATGGGGGTGTCCAGATACCATGAAATTTATTTTTAATCATTATATTCCTTTCTCTTTTTATATTGATTTGAACTTTCGCTCGTATCATCCTGTGGTCGCTGTTTGTGGTGAACTTGTTGAGTACTGTTACATCTTTAATTATTTGTTTTTGATCACTTATGATGTAGTCGATTTCGTTCCTTGTTCTACCGTTTGGACTTTCCCAAGTCCATCTTCTGTGCATCTTTTTGTGAAAGAAGCTGTTCATGTTGAATTACTGTAGGTATATGTAGGTATATGTTTCTGGAAATTACTTCAAAAATAAGAAAGTAATGGTTTATATTGACCTCCAGTCTGCTATCCGTCCAATAGAGCATGAACCTGAACTGCCAGTCACTGAGCCTTGTCTAAGTATTGATGACATTTTAAATACTAGTGAATCTGAATCTGATGAAAGTGGTCCAGAAAGTAATTGTGAATTTCAGCGTCCTTTAGAAAATTTACATT